GTATTTGGTATTCCAATAAAACCTACACTGAGATTTCCTCACTTTTGCTAACATTTGGAAGATTTCGGAAAATCCTGAAATCTGGCCTTGTTCTCCTCCCACAGCTTTTTTGGGTGTCTTGATGATGCCATCAGATCAAGCCATCACAACTCAATTTATTTCCACCTTTATTTTTCATGCAGTAACTTTTTAGCAAACCCATAAAAAGAAAATAATTACTAACTCACTGCAACATGGATTCATGTTTCCCAAATCATATAACCATTCACAAAGCTGGTCAAAATTTATGGACTGGTGTGTTGTGGGTAACATTATTTCTACTAGAAGAACGTTTTTATGTAGCACCCGGCAGAACACAGTTAATAATGCATTGCTTAGCATTTTGAATAATTTTAGCAAAGGAATAATTTTAGCACTATAAACTTACTTGAGACAACGGTTTCCCCTACAGACCTTCCTTATGGCACTGCTCATAAATGCATTACATATCTTGTTGACATACCTCTCCAGCTTTCTTTTCATAGTAAATATAAAGCAAAATTAAGTAAATGAAAAAGGTGTTTTCCTCAGTGAAAAATTTTGAGGTGTTGACAGAATGCATTCTATAAAAGCTCTTTCAATTGAAACTTATTTAATGCACCTGGTTTGATTGGAATTCATTGCAGAGAGTTGTCAAAAGCCTATGTATTTCTAGTCTTCTACTTAAGTTCTCTACATAGTTAAATTATCTCTTTCTTCTGCTTGATTCTCTTTGACTTCTTTTTTCTCAAATCTGATTGACCAATACTGTGCTCTGATAAATATATTTAATAGAATACTTCCTTAATTATACTGAAAAATGTATCCTCTAATGTGCCTTACGCTTTCACTTCTTTTTGACAGATAGAAAATGCTGGCAGTTCATAGACATCCTACATTCAAACTCTTGTCATCTTCCTTCTCAATTTTCAGCTGACAATTCTGCTGACAAAAACATTTGTTTATTCAATTGCAAACTGTGTGACTTTACATCTGTAATACACATATTTAATTTAATTTCTATTACCATGATTCTCAAGATCATCAAGTTCTTTCTACATTATTCCTAAACATTGCTTGATGATGTTTCCAGCACAGTGTCTTTGGCAAATTTCATTATTATGTTTCTAATATCCTTGCCAAGATCACTAATGAAATTATTAAATAACAGTGAGCTCTGGGGTCAGTTTTGATCTGTTGGTAGCCAGTCTGCTACTTTTTAGTATTTTTCTATTTGCAAGCTGTTTATTCACCTTTCCACTATTAATCTCTGGCCTTTTTCCCCATATAATATTTCCAGTGTTGTGCCACAGTAAAGATTTTACTGAATCACAGAATATTTAGGGTTGGAAGGCACCTCTAGAGATGCAGGATCAGCTAGCACAGGTTACACAGGAACACATCCAGGTGAGTTTGAACGTCATTAGAGAAAGAGACTCCAGAGAGACTCTAGAGAAGGAGAATCTCCCTCAGCACCCTGTTCCAGTCCTCTGCCTCCCTCAGTATAAAGAAATTATTCCTCATGTTGAGGTGGAACAACTTTTGTTTTAGTTTGTGGCTATTGTTCCTTATCCTGTCACTAGGCACCACTGAAAAGAGTATGGCACCATCATCTTGACATCCACCTTAGAGATATTTCTATGCACTGATGACATCTCTTCTCAGTCTTCTCTTCTCCAGACTAAATGGGCCAAGCTCCTGCAGTTTCTCCTCATAATGGAGATTCTCCAGATCCCTAGTCATCTTTGTGGTCTTCCACCGGACCCGCTCCAGTAGCAACTTGTTTTTCTTGAACTGTGGAGACCAGAACTGGATACAGCACTCCAAATGTGACCTCACTAGGGCCAAGTGGAGAGGGAAGGTCACCACCCTCATCCTCCTGGCCACACTCTTCCCAATGCACCCCAGGATACAACTGGCCCTCCCGGCTGTAAGGGTACACAACCAGTTCAATTTCATAGTGAAATTCAGGTTGATTTGGTTTATCACCTTCCTTTTTTCTCCCCCCTTACCCCCCCCCATGTAACAATGATTTTATTGAAGAATGTTGTGGTATTAATCCGTCATAATTTACCTTTCCAAACTTGTGTTGCACATTCTCCCAGTTTCTGTATTCCTCTGCGTATCATCTTCTTCTTCAAAGTTCTCTCTATAGTCCAGGAGCTTAAATCTTACTGAGATCAAACTTACAGACATATAATGGCTCAGATCATAATTTTCTTGGTTGCAAGACAAGATACAAAGTTTTCAGCTTCTCCATTCAATAATACCTTCCTGACATCATGAAATTACAAAAATCACCTGCTATCAAGACCGAAATTCCAGTTTTCTATCACCTTTATGACTTAAGTGCCTTTTCTCTGCTCCTCTCAGCAAACCCTGTGTTTGCAAGTGACTTGCTCTTGCTATTGCTGTGATCCTCTCACTTGGGAAAATCTTGTTAGTTCTGGTACTTTTTTTCCCCAGAACATTTTTTTTTCAGCAGAATCAATCTCCCCTTGCCTCTGAAGAATTTCACTTTGTCTAATACCTTCCACTTTTAAAAGTATGGAACATAGAAACTGATAAAAAAGAAATAAGAAAAATTCACCCCTCTGCAATACAGATCCTTGATAATACTACGACATTTATCTTTAGGAAACTCCAAACAACCTTGTAAACCTTGTCCACTACTCTACAGCCTCAAAGATTTTAATTATCATTTTCTCTTTTAAGTTTGAACACTTTAGGTTTGGCTTTATTTTAATTTGTTTCAGTGTTCTTAATATGTTTGTTTTCACTTATTAGCCTTTCAACTCTGTACTGTCCCTAAAATAAAGAGTCGGTTTGGGTTCCTTTGGTTTACTAAAGAAACGTGTAGACTCTTTTCTCTTTGAATATATGGGTAATTATTGAAAATATTTCTCAATTTGAAGCTTAATTAAAATTAGGATTAAATTTAAAAGCAACTTATTAAGCTTAACGGGGAAACCTCTCAGCTCTCCAGATGGATTTCTCTCTCTTCTGTACTATTATGTGTTTTGTTTCTGCCCATTTCTCCTCTTCAGAGCAACCACATTATGTGAAATTTCTTTTTTTTTTTTTTTGCTAGTTTAGATCAATGTTATCTGCAGAACAACCTGTAGAAAATACTGACATAGCCACTTATAACAAACTATAAATGACTCACTTTTTACAAAAATGTTATGGTAAGCACAGACAAATATGAAAACAATAAAAGCGATAAGTTGAAACCCAAACACATTTTGCAGAAAAATCATACCTCAGTGAAATGACTGCATGAACATTTTTAATTATCTGAAACTCAAGTATTAAAGACTAAACAAGCTCTGGAACAAAATTAAGTCTTATAGAAATACTTATGTCTGTACCGCGGTCTGAAAAGTGGATGGGGCCGTGACACAGCGCGGGTCCGGGACACAAGGTAGGATGCAGGTAGAATCATTTATTGAGGCGTGCGCCAGATTCTTTGTCAGTTCAGGCGGGGAAAGGGCCAGAACGTAGGGTGGGGCATGAGACAGACAAACGGGGGAGCAAATCAGGATAGGGGCACAGGCGAAAGAGGGTGGAACGTGGGAGGAACCGGGGAAGGAAAGGGCGAATGGAGGCTGTCTCCTCTCTGCAGCTTCTCCAGCCAATCCGCAGGAAAGCAGGGAAGTGGACAAGCCTGGACGTGCCCGGGAGATACAAATTCTGGGGAAGCATACAATGTGTATGTACATAATTGTAAAGTCTGTATCATAAAGTCCTTTCAATTGCTGTACATCTTTTTCCACTTCTGAAATTTTTCCCATTCTGGTTCCTGGTCCTTCACATGTCTGTTTGGGGCTTTAGGGGGTTGGTTAGGTTTTTTGTTGGTTTCTTGTTTGGGTTTTCTACTTTATAGCTATGAAATAAGTGCTTATTTGGTATGAATAATAGGAATAACAGTATACTTTTAATAGAGGTCATTACTAGTCTTATTAGACATTTCAGACAAATGAAATAATGGGTCTATACAGAAATTGATTTCTTTGTGTTTTTTCAATTATAGTCTTTCTTTAATGCAGTCTTCTGTATTGAGCTTTTTGAGCTTTCAAAAAAAAACTTTTTAAAGTCTAAATATTCAGTGTATACAAAACGGAAGAATTGGTTCACTTCTTTAGAGGTAAGATTAGTAAAAATATGTTATATCTTACTATAATTGTTGGGGGAAAAAAACCCCAAAACTATAATGCTCAGCTGGCTGCTTACTTACCTTGATACCCTAATTGCCTTATGGGGTGTTGTTGGTTGTCTTCTAATACTTCATGGAGATTATAAGGATATAGAATTTCTTTCTGGCGCACATGGACCTTGGACCTTTTACTTTGTTGTAGAATAACCCTTATACCTGCCACTCAAAAAACAAAGAAGTTAAAAGTCCAACTGAAAACATTTAGGAACACAGTCACACATATGAAGTCTGTACTTTAAGACTGAGAAGGGTCTGGATAATAGATGCTGTTAATAGATTATCATTATTCAAGATCCTTTCTAATCATTCTCTCTGGAGAATTTTTGGCAATTCTGTGCCAGAATTCATAAGTATTCTTCAAAGAAAATAAATGGGAACACTAAAATTCTTCCTATTTTCATATTAGGAATATGAAAAAGCTAAGTTAGAAATAACCTGGAAGGGTAGCTTTCAAATTCTACTTGAACAAGGTAAGGTAAAAAACAAACAACAAACAGCCCTGAATCTAGGCATCTAGTGCTTCCTTTAAATTCTAAGATTACTACGTATTAAGAATTACTACAATTCCAAAAAAAAGAATCTCAGCATGTTGAATTGATGAAAGCAACACTTTAAAGTGCTTTTATTTATCCTATATCTCATTGTAATTTATAAGCTAGTAAATATTTGCAATGCTTGTTTTATGTTATATCGAGTCCCGTTATTGGTTCTTCTTAAGCATTTCACAACAAAAGTATTTATATATTTTTTTCTTTCACAGCTGAAAGCAAAACAAAAGGAACACCTGACACGAATCCCTATGGTAATTACTGACTTCTAATTCCTTTTTTTTTCAGTCCAGTCCCTCCATTTCACTACGGATGATATCGTTACGCCATTACTTTAATTATAATATTCAATATATTATCAAAATGAAAAGTCAGTATCTTCTTCCCAAGAGCTATAACTCTGTAGATTACATGTCTGAGGTTCAGACAAATTTTTAAGCGTACAACAGTGAAAGAATACCATTTGGGAATTAATGATTTACAATATATATATTAGTAAAGTTCAGGGCAAAACTGGGTGCAAAACCACAAGGCTACCTCTGTTAATTAGAAGGAAACATGCAGACATAACTGTGGATCAGAAAGTATTAAAAACTATCCCTTGAGAAAACCTTTTAAGTGAATGAAAGGAAAAAAAGTAAAACAACATAACTTTCTTTATGGCTTTTCTTATTTAGATTTGGCTATTGGGACACTGATGGAGAATACACAAATAACTACATGAGTGGTACTATGAGATTCCTAAAATACCTGTGTTTAGTGAGAAAAATTAATGACAAAGAGAGACTGAAATAGAAGTGTAGTTGTATTTTTTTATTTTTAACTGAATCTTCTGTTTTACTGCCACACGAACTCCACTATTTGACATCTCTCTGTTGGAAACAGTACAAGCTACTCTTATTTCAATGCAGTTACTTGAGCTGAGAGGCCTCTTACCTCTGAAAGCATTGAAAGTCTTTATGTAGCATATGTTCTCTGACTGAAGATGTCTTATCTGATGATTTGTTTATTACTTCTTTTAACACTTCTCAGTGCAATACCTGTCACACTTTTCATAATTAATTTAATCTGATGACATTTGCCAGATATAGGAAAATAACACCATATCTAACCAGGTAAATCTTAAACACTTTTTATTTTTACTACTTTCTTTTCCCTTTCTGACTCTCATTGGGGCAACCACAGCAGAATTCATCTCACCTAACCTTAGACTTTTTACACTGATTGTTTAATCTTAGCTCCATCTAGAGACAATGGAAAGAGATAGAAATACTTTAGAGAGTAATTTCTTTTGCCTGTTCTTGTAGTTAGGGTTGCTTCTCTCTCATTGGTAAGAGGAAGATCCCTTTAAGCTACATAAATATGTGGTTCATCAACCTTGGCTTGCTGCCAGGCTACACCCAGCTGCTGTCTTAAAGAGGACTGGAAGAAAATAAGATGCAAAAACTTGGGATAAGGATGGGGAGATCACTTATGAATTAATGTAATGGGCAAAGTAGATTCAAGTTTGAGAAATTTAATTTAATTTGTTGTCAGTTAAAATAGATTTGGATAATGAGAAGCAAAGAACAGTATTACCCCCCCCCCTTTACTTTTCTCATGATCAACTTCGTTCCTTCATTCCCAACTCCTCTACTTCCTCTCGCACCCCAAATGACACATATCAAGCCACCCACAACAGCTCCTCTCTGCCACTTCTTCATCCTCAGGCTTTTCCCTCACTGTAATCTGAGCTCTCTGTTGTCTGCAGTCCTTCAGGAATATCTAACTTCTCTGGGGTGGGGTACTCCATGTGTATGCATATCTGCTCCACCATGGTCTTCTCCACAGGCTGCAGGTACTTCCTTCCGCTCTTTCTTCTCTGACCTTGGTGTCTGCAGGGCTGTTTCTCACACTTTTTGTTCCGTCAGATGTTTTATCCCTTTCATTAAATACATTTTCCCCAGAGGTGCCCCCACCTCAGCCGTGCCCTGCACTGGGTGGATTGGAGCTGGCTAGAACCATCTGTGTCCGGCACAGGGCAGACCCAGCCTCTCCTCACAGAGCCCCCCTGCAACCCTGTACAACACAATATCTTGATGGTTAAAGATAGGTAACAGGAAAAATTTTCTGAGAGATAGAATACTTAAAAATGTAGGAGATGGGCTGATTTTGTGGAGGGGACTTTTAAGGACCGTGGAACTATACTTACATGTTTATAGCACATACACAGGCCCACAAGACTCTTATTCAACCCAATTTAAAAGTTTTGGCCAATACATTTATTTTGCATGTAGCTGATTGTTCATATTCAGTTTAGATGTGTATTTTCTTTTAAAAAAATTATTATTTATTGATTTAAATATTATTTTTTTGTAAGTTAATTGTCCTTGGATTGATTTAACAGTCAGTTTCAGGAGTTCAGTACTCAGTTTTTAAGGTTCAGAACATAGACCTTAGACAAAATTTTAGTATATAGACTTGATTTATTTGGATGTCAAATGAATAACTGAATTGTTAAAGATATTAGGAAGAAATTCTTTACTTTGAGGGTGATGTGGCACTCGAACAGGTTGCCCAGAGAAGCTGTAGAAGTGATCAAGGTCAGGTTGGTTGGAGCTCTGAACAATTGGGTCTAATGAAAGGTGTCCCTGCTGATGGCAGGGAGGTTAGAACTAGGTCATAATATCATACAATCAATAAAGCTGTAACAAGCCTTTAAGATCATCAAGTCTAACCATTAACCTAACACCACTGTGTTCACTGCTAAACCAAATCCCCAACTGCCACAGCCACACAGCTTTGGAACATTTTTTTTCATAATAGCTAACCTAAACCTCCCCTATAGCAGCTTGAGAACATTTTCTCTGATCTTTAAGGTCCCTTTCAACTCAAAACATTCTATGATTTCATGATTCTATGATCTCTACAGATTAACAAAGCTGGTGCCACTAATACAGTTTCTTCAAATGGAATGGAAAAACACACAGATTATTGTCAAAAATATAATTAATATATATTATATAGTAGTTTGACCTCTTTAGAGTTTCTGATATAAACAGAATATTAAAATTCACAGTTGGTGACTAGTACATGCAAAATTATGGTATAACCTGTTGCCTGTTAAAGACCTGCACAAAAACATGTTTATCTAACTAGTTTCTGCACATCCTCAAGAAGGATGTTTCTAGTATAAAAACATCTCCGAAATCAAAGTCAGCTAAAATATTTAAAATAACTTTAAAAAAAATAAAGTATCTGTGGGAAAGAGGACACTGATTAAAATATCCTTCACTTACTGAATAAAACAAAATTTAATTATGATTAATTATTTTAAAATATTTAATTTTTTTGACTGTAGTAACCTCAAAAAATATCCCAAACTAATTCTCATGTTAGTTTCAAATCTGATTAAGAATATTTAATACAATTCTTCATTTTTGTTATGGAAGATGTCAAATAAATAACAAATTCCTTGCTTTGTTGCTAGTATATTTGCTAAGGAAGGCTGGTGATACCAACTCAAGGTATAAAAGCATTTGATATATCCCTCTGGAGTTTTTTACTCATCTCTTCTATCTTTAAAACAGTCATAGGATTGGATGTCTTAGGGAATGAGTAATCACCGTCAGAATCCTTTCTTGCTTTCCTACTAATACAAATCTTTCTTGACTTGTTAGCAAAGGTTGTTACTAGATAACAATTTGATTGAATATGCTTATTTGTTTAACTTATTTGTGATCTCAGGCTATGGCACACCCTCACCTATAAAATTGTTCCATTACTAGTACTACCAATAGAGTTGTTGTGGATTGAAAGGGTATAGATACAGAGCTGATTTTTTTTCCTGTTAGTCTCACAGGACAGTGTGGGAACCTTATGCTGCAGCTCCCCATGGTGCAAATAGAGTGTAATTATTTTCTGCAAATGACAGGAGAATGTTTCCAAGAATGTTAAAATTCACCTGTTTTAAAGTGCAGAAGGGCAGTATGTTGGAGGGAGCTCTGACAGCAGAGGGTAGAACAATAGCACTACAAACATGTCAGACTTGAAAGGAGCGACATTAACAAGTCAATCTCAAGCAAGTAACCTCCTTTGGGAAGACTTTCTGAAAGGAGGAGTGCAGTTAGCAGTCTAGTTGTGTCACTTCTCGTTATACATTTTTTTAAGCAGCTGACTTGGTCAGAAACATCCTCATTAACTTTATTTTCTATTTTCGGCATGCATTTATTATAGCTGATTTACTCTATTCAGCTTAATATGCCTGCTTTTAATTCATTTCTTGACTTTGCAACCAAGACAGTAGCTGAATGTTTTCTGAATGTTTGTGTGATGTGCATATCTCCTTTGTCTAGGTTGACAGCCATATTCTCTGAGAATTCCAATGAGTTAGGTAAGTCTTTACCTCCCTTGTCTCTCCTTAGGCCATTTTAAAATAATGGCATTATGTTGGCTGCTCTCCAGTCATCTAAGATTTCACTTGATCTATTTTGAAGAGCAGAAGTACATAAAAATGTCTGCCAAAGCATCTTCAATTTCTGTTCTTATTTCCTTAACCCTTTTGGACCTATGCTGTTTGGTCATGGCCCAATAAATTTTAGAAGCCATTTCACCTTATAATAACCATACTGACTCACTCTGTCCATATCCTAATTCCTAATCATCCATCTCCATAAATATGATTTCAGATGTAGTCAAATACCTACTCTTATCCTTTATAAGGCCATATATAACCATTACATAGTGTATCCTCAATCCCCTTACACTCTTTCTAGGGGATAGGTTGCAATACGAAAGTTTCTTTTAACAGTGAGCGTGTGTCCAGAGCTCAGGACTGGGCTAGAGAATTAATTTTAATTCAGATTTTCAATTAATTTTCTGTTTCTTTCCTGCTCTAGGGAGGAAGCAGCCTGCAAATGAATTACAGCTGATAGTTGTTTGCTTCTTCACAACAACTTGCTGACCCAGAGACATCATTCTCCTCAATGACCTGCAGTCTGCAGGTTTGCAGCCTTGTCAAGGAAGCAAGAAGTACTCAATATTTCTTTGTTTCTCTGCATAGGCATGTCAGAATCATCATAATTAGCTCCTGAAAGGACCTCAAAAGTTATTTAGTCTGTCCTCTCATGCTAGAGTAAAATTGTTTGTGTTTTCTACTCTTAATAACCTTATGGTTATGGAAATCCCATAACCACCTTAAGCAATCTGTTCAACGTTTATTTAAACTTTAGGTTTTCAACTTCACCCATATTTTATATATAATTTTTAGAAAAAAGTTTAAAAAATAATCTATGCTACTGCACACATTACAGCAGTTGAAAAACCTCTTAATGTTTCTGTGTGTGAGACACTGATTATGCCTAACAAAAGTCTAGAGACAGAGCCTGGGGCTGATCCTAAACACTTACAAGATCTATTTGATGTGATTTGTCCCACAGAAATCAAGATGACAGCTGATTATAAATATTTTATGTTGTCATCTACCAACATATTTTAGCTGTAAAAGCTTTCAATATTGAGCAGTATGCTAATTCTGAGGTACTTTTATGAATGCAACGCTGATCCTAGCTGGATCACGTACAGGAAGTGAAACTAGAGCCTTTGAATTTAACAGAAAAGGCTGTTACTATCTTTACTAAGTCACATTCTTACCTTTATCCAATTGAAAGAATTGTATTAGGAAATCTCTCTCTGTGTCTTCTCTTCCTTATCACTGGACAAAGCCCAAAATGATGTTGACATGACTGCTTCAGCCTAATGCTAGATATTTAAAAAAAACTCAAAGCAATAAAACTCTGTGATCGAGAAACAAGTTGATATCATATAGTGTTCTATACCAAATAATGATCCACTGTGAAATGTCAGTCATGGAATCTCACACTGAGAAAAAGGTTCACTTCAGTTAATTCCCTGAGACCACAGGCCGAGACTGAACACCTTTGCAGGTACCACAGGTCATCTGGAGAATGCTGACTCATTACTCTGCTCTAATCTTTGTATTTATTTTTTGAAGAACTGTTATTTGAGTTTGATTAGGCTCAATGAAGATTTTGACATTTGAAATTTAAAGAGTGGAATTCAAATACTGATTGAGGGGACCTCCTTTTGAGTGTGTTGGTCATTCTGTGACCATTTAAAGATAATTTTTAATATCAGAAGAGGTACCCTGGAATTCCACACTTTCTAAAGACACTAACCATTTATAAAATCTGCCTCTGTCTCTAACATTAAAGATACTAATGGTTACTGAGCAGGCAAACCATGATGTCCCATTGTTAAGGTAGGGAGAGGAAGTTATATTGAATTATATATACTAAAAACATGACCTAAATTCTTCTCTTTCCTTTTTTTGCCGATGACAGCTGATAAAAGTATTTTTTTTGAGTTTTTACCCCACTTTTTTTACTTGTTCATGTCTTTTGCCATGTTGAGTCCTGGAGAAGAGAACTACAGTAACATGCTCTTTTGTCTTACCTTATTCCAATTGCAACTTTAGTCATGTAAGTCTGTATAACTGACCTTTATATTACATTGCATTGCAAATTGCAGCCTAAGTCATTGTTATGCTTCCCAATTATATGCTGGAAATAAGTTGTCATACTTGAAGAAAAATAATTCCAGGAAAACAGAACCCTATCAGAACTCACAGAGTATTAGCCATATTGTCATTTATTACGTTAAAATTTTAACAGGTGCATCTCAAAGGCAAGTGTATCAGCCCAAACGTACCAAGAAATTTATATGGTCATACACATCACGTGATTGCACTCAAGATAATCTGTTCCATAACCTTTCCTGGCACTGAGGTCAGGCTGAGAGGCCTATAGTTCCCCAGATCCTCCTTCTGACCCTTCTTGTTGATGGACATCATATTTGCTAACATTCAGTCCAAGACTGCTGGTAAATATCTGGAAGTGGCTTGGAGAGCACTTGCACTAGCTCCTTCAATACCCTTGGGTTGTTCCCATCTCACCCCATAGACTTATGCATGTCTAAGTGGTGTAGGAAGTCACTGACCATTTGCACTTGGATTAAGGGGTATTCATTCTGTTCCCCATCCCTGTTTTCCAGCTCAGGGGGATGCATACCTGAAGAACAACTGGTCTCACTATCACAGACTGAGGCAAAGAACACATTAGATACTTCTGCCTTTTCCTCACCCTTTGTCACTATGTTTCCTCCTCCACAACCAATAAAGGATGGCGATTCTCCTTACCCTCCTTTTGTTGCTGATGTTGCTAATAGAAACATTTTCATTGTCTTTCACAGCAGAGCCAGATTAAGGTTCCTTCTAATTTTCTCCCTGGATAATGTCACGACATCCTTGTAGTCCTCCTGGGCTGCCTGGCTCTTCTTCCAAGTGTCATAAACACTTTTCTCCCCTGAATGCCAGACAAGGCTCTCTGGTCAGGCAGGTCAGTCTGTCCCACCAACTCATCTTTTTGGGATATAGTGATGGCTGCTCCTGCACCTTTAAGCTTTTCTTCTTGAAGAATGTCCAGCCTTCTTGGACCTTCAGGACTGCCTCCCAGATACTCTGTTGACCAGACTCCTAAACAAGCCAAAAAAGTCTGCCCTCCAAAAGTCCAAGGTGGCAGTTCTGCTCACTCCTGGCCTCACTTTGACAACTGAAAATTCTATAATTTCATTAATGGTATGCCCAAGACATCCTCTAACCATCCAAGATCACTTAGGACCAACTGACATGTGCTTGATTTTATAGACAGCGCTCGGTGTGCTGTTATGCTTCTTTGTTCTTTGCTGTGGTCATCAACAACACCTGTTTGGCCAAGTGCCTAGGACCTGCAAGGCTGGTAAGGAAGGGTGTAATTGGACTGGCACTCAGGAATCTTGAGACCCGTATGGAGTAGAAGAAGAAATATTTTTTATTTTTCTAGTTGGCTCACGGGAAATGAATGCATCACCCACTCAGCCACAGAGAATGGCTGTTTGCTTTATAAAATAATATAAGTTATGCTAACCACATTAGCAGGGGTGGGGAGCAGGGCAATACCGGTCACATATGGTATCTCCTTGGGCCCTAGGATTGATGAAACCTATTTTCTTCAAAAAGAAGGCACAAATTATAGCAAATTACCATCCCAAACTCTTTGCCAGGAAGAATCTTATGCTTAAGGTAATGATTTCTTCTTCTTCATTTGGATTATGTTGAGATCAATTTTATACTTTTTTTGATAGTAAAATCTGCTTATTTTTTATTTTCTTTATTATCTTGCAATTTGTTATTATATCTGAATTTACTACGTATGTTCTGCTTTAAATATGTTGGATATTTGTTGTGTTTCTTACCTCTGTAGCAGGTTTTATTTGGTTGTCAAAAATCAGACTATCAAAAGATAACATTATCTTGTCTTGGAACATTACATATTGTGGACTGATAGTTGCTGCTCACTTCTTAATAAGAAATGATTAGTCATAGCCATACATAATATAAATAAAGATTTTACCAGTAAATTTGGCAGTGGTTAATAGTAGCTGGATGACTTCCCTATTTACAGTACACTGAGACACACAGATTATTATTACTGCTTGTAAATAATTGATCGTAAGCTAATTGATGTCATGTGGTAAAGTGATTTTTTTTCCCCTGAAAGAATAAGCATATGATCATCTTCATAGGAATCTGAAATTCATTTGGAAACTAACTATCAAGAATTTTGTTGTAATGGGCTGGATTAGCTGCTAGTTCTTAAAAAAAGGAATTTTACTGTGACAAGACTTTAAAGGTTGTTGGGACGAGGTGGTAGAAAGACAAAATAAATAATAGTAGTGGGGATTATTTCTGTCTTATTCACTTATCTCTAAAATGAACCAAATATGAGATTATGCTTTTTTGACTTATTTTAATGAGTTGATAGCATGATTGACAGTCTATATACTTTTTTTACTATCTTTACTGAATGAGGAAATCTGACAAAATTTGTCATATAAATCATATTTAAGTCATAAAACATAACATTTGCTCCTTCAAGATTTGTGTTGAAAAGACTGAAAGGATTGTGTCTCAAGGAGGTCTTCAGACTTCTGCAATCTCAGCAGTTATTTAACAGTGTTGTGTACTTTATCCTGCCTCTGACTCCTGCTAAGAAGATGTGCATTTGACTTCTTCCTATTAGACTCATGAACAGTATAGGAAAAATGTCAAATTTACGACTATAAGATTCATTTAGTTGGGTACACAATCATTCATCTTAATTATGTCTGACACCTTCACCATTATAAAATCAGTTTCCCAGAAGAAGAGAAACTCACACTCTGTCTCCTTTAGGAATCCTTCATTGAAGGAGACTAGTTATTTCAGTCCTCTGAGGAAGCTAATAGTGTAGTCGAAGGATCATGAAAAAAAGAATAATGGCTCGTATTCATCAAGAACAGGGAAATACTACACTGCCATACCTGGTAACCATAACTCCTAACACTGCTTTTTTTGGAGGGTAGTAGATCATAGTACATAAGATTTTGAAGCAGGAGATGTTTAAACTTCTAACAAAAGGCAATTCTTTTATATCTTTTTTGCCTTCATTGAAATAAATGATAGCTTGTCACTGAACTCTGTAAGAAACTATATTAGGTAATTTTTTTTATTTTCCATGAGGCATATTTTATTTATATTATGAAAAGGTAAAGAGATGATGAAACCACTAAAAAAGCCACTCTAAGCATCTTGATCATCTGCATATGCTAGTTGTAAACAAATTAAGATACTTTAACATATGTATGTGAAATAAAATACATTTTTACTTTGATAAAAAAAAATGATATAAAAATAAAACCATTATTATTTGAAGGATCAGTAATGTAGAATTTTCACATTGTATTACTTAGAGAATGAATATTTCACTATTCACAAAAGGATAAGTAAAACTGTTAAGTCAGGTGCCATAATAGATAAGGCATTAAACATGATCTCTGTTTTTCAAATGGTCTTTTCCTCTCAAAGATAATAATACAGAAAGATGTAAGAACTTAATTTTAAAATTCCACAATTTGTGGAGGATAGAAGTTCAAATGAAAAATTGAATCTTAATAAATACTCGTATAGCTACATACATAGTATTTATAACCATTAGACTACAAAGTCTCTCTAAATGTAGCACATCCTCAAAACTGCTTCAACAAAAAACAGCATTCAGAAGAGTACTAGGGATAGGCTATAAAAAGGTTACCTTTATTTACTGTCCTCAGTTCAGAGGAGACCATTGCTGAATCTATACCTTGCAGAGACCATCCTAAACTAGAAGAAAAATGTATCCTGCTTTTATCTTTCTCTGTTTAATATTCCTGCAGAATGAAAGCTTGACTAATTTATTCAGGAAAGTAAGTGTAAATGAGAAGCAAATACTTTTGATTATTAAGAGACAGAGTGGTTCCAAAATGACAGGAAGTTGAAGCAGAATATGCCTCAGTACCCCGTGAGTAGATTAACCATTTTTCATTCTGTCCATTATCTCTATGTTTTTTTGAGGCAAAGACCTTCTATCAATATGTAAACAAAGTAAAGTAAAATAGCTCGATTTGAGGAAAAATCTTTGTAGTAGGATTGAGAATGATGACGATGATGCAGCTAAGACAGAGGCTCTGAACAAATTCAGTGCCCTAATATAGACAACTGTAATCAGAGGATTGGACTACATTTCAGTAACAGTGCTGGCATAGTAGTTGCCAGTGAGCTCGTAACTGCTTCATTACCCATGCTTGACCCCTTGTGATGAATATGCTGAGCCATTGTCAGATGACAGATTCAAATGGCAAGGGAACAAGCAAATTAATTACTTTCCTAAATTATATTTATCATCAGAATTGTGATGAAAAATAAAAAGTGCCACTGGTGTTGAAAAAACCCAAACTAAGTGCCAAATTCTGATCTGTCAATTGAATTGCTCTGGCTTCATAGTGAACTGAAGTGAGAATTTTTCCTCAAACATTTAGAAATTCAAAAATTTGACTTTCTTCACACATGACAATTGTAGTCAATAGCTCTATTGTGATGTGCAAAACATTAATTCTAAAGATAGGCTTATTTAATGAGCACTTACCTGGTTGGTTTTTCTTGAACTCAAAATAAAGCTTCATTCAAGCAGGGCCAAAACATTTAGATAGCTCTGAATTAATTTTACATTTTCTTTTTAAAATGATCTAACTTAGAAAAAAGATATATTTTAAATACTTTCCCAATTAAATGAGATTTTTCCTGATTATTAAAAAGTTTACATTTAACTGTACTAATCTTTCCATAAGTGAGTAACTTGGTGTACTTACTTCAGTTTTAGTATCAAACTTAAAATGTCTACTATTGCATCTGCTTCCAGTGGTCAATTGGTACTTGAATGGCTAATATGCAAATTAACAAGAAGTAAATCTTATCCTTAAGCTGTTCAAGAAGATTTAAAATCCCTCAAAAAAGCCCCCAACAAACCAGAAAAACAACTAAAACCCAAAACTCAAACGAGCATACAATAAATAATTAGAAAATTTTTGTTAAGAATTAGTCTGGTTGGAAATAGTAACTTTAAGAAGCTATGGACAGGCAAGTGATTGTATTTAAACTGTTGAAATCTAGAATATTATCAAGCTAAATCTAAAAGTGTTCTCTAACTATGTCCTGATCCTCTGTCTAAAATATATAAGCTCCATTTCATCCTCTTAGGCGTGGGCAAACCCAGGTTCCTATGAAAGGAAAAGTCTGACAGAAAGTCAGTTCTGTAACATCCAGCTTATTCCCCAAAATAAATGACCACAAGTACTATTCAGAGAAAAACAGTAGTGTAGGTAGTAAATTTACCTTTCTTCACTGGCATTACATGGATTCAGGACAACTCCTTTAGATGACTTCAGTGGAACTAAAGTTAAGTGGGATGTGTTATATGTAGATGTTTGGTTTGTAGCTAGCTCAAGACACAGGAAGTTTATTCTCCTCTTCACTTTTTTAAGCTCCAGTTTCCCATCTCTCTACTGTCTTTTGTCTTTATATTGCCATCTATTAAAGACAAAGTTCATTTTATTGCATATTAACATAATACATGGAAGAATCAGGTCTCAATCTTGATAAAGACCTTGGTGCACAACAGTTCAAAGATTGATTAAACAAAAGTAAAGGAAGTAACAAAGCTTAGCTTTTGATTACCAAATAGCCCACCAAAAAGTGCATGTTCAAAATGAGAGTTTTTTTTAACAAGAAATTCAACAATGCACTAGACAGCTTAATTCTTGTTTTCTCAATTTGTAAGAAATTGAACCTGCCAAGATTTAATTACATGTATAGCTTAACACCTCCTGCAGACACTCTATTTCTTTCTAATGAATCAGAGGACACCTAGCATATGCTACCCTGTGTGTCAAAGCTGGTGTCTCTTTTGTCTTTCTTCTGCCTCGTAGAGTATAGATTAACTTGGCTTTGCTCTTTAAAAGACTAGAGCAAAACTGATCCAGAGAGATGGTCTGTGATTTACTTTGACATCAGAGAGGAAAATGTGCATTTGCAAATACACTGGTGATGATTCATGTACCTTTAGATTAATAATACCTTGCATATTGCAAGCTGTTAGAAATCTGAAACCCAAAAAGATATTTGTGAAACAATTCTCCACTAGAAAGTGTAATAAAATCTTAAATGTAACTTTGATTCTATCTAGTCAGAGATTCAAATTATGTCTCTGCGCTGAGGCTCCTGAAGGTTCCATTAAGGTTTCACTTCACCTAATAATGTCATGTTATGTATTAAACTTTAATTGTGGCTCTTTTAAAGCTTGCATGCTCCAGTTATGGAGTTAAGAATATTTTTTTTGTTATAGGTAGGAAATGTACTACACAAATACAGAGGCAGCTCCTCTGAGAACAGATTCGATGAGACATGCAATGACGCACAGGTAAAATGTAAAACTAATGCATACTAGGCAATTTAGTAGATGAAGAACAGAAGTAGTTGCTATGTGCACAAATATAGAATAGGGGAGGAAATCAGCATGGCTTTTGGAAAATTAATTCTTGCATTACGTACCTTGCCAAGCGGTCAACAAGTTTGTTGATAGGGTCAATCCCATTGAAATGTATTGTTAGATTACCAAAAGGCTTTTGACAGGGAAATAATCTCAGAAAAACTTTAGATGAGAATGAAAGTCCTTGCACGGTTAAGAAATAGAATCTATAGGTAAGCGATCAATTTTCATAGTGGAGAGAGTTCACATGGGAGATCCACACCAAGCTGTGCAAGATATGCTGATATGACCTTTGACAACAGTGAAATGACAAATTTTCTGATATTACTGTATTATTCATTATAGCAAGTACAAGAACTGTCTGTGAATAATTGTCAAAAGTCCTTACAATACTGGTGGCCAATAAATTCATTAAAACTAAATATATAAATACATAAGCATATCATGTTGCATAAAGAATTATGTGTTCTGAGCTGACCACTGTGATTCAGTGTGAAATCTGGGGGTTAAGATAAGTTGTTCCATATGAATGTTTGTTCAGTATTTATTAGCAGTAGAAAACAAGCAAACCATCATAATGTCAAGGATTATTTGAAAGGAACAGAGAACTATTATACTAGACTATAAAGAATTGGGTCGCTATACGAATGTATATGCTGGATCCCTAAATGTCAGAAAAGTATATTGCAATGGAAAGCTTCAGAAAAAGGGAAATAAAGGAAATGCATGAAATCAATCTGTGTGAGGAATGAATAAGCCACAGCTAAACAAACTTGGGCTCTTCATTATAAGCAAAATATGAGTAAAGGAGAACTTGACAGAGGTTTATAGGATCAAGAGGGGCATGGAAAATATGGACAAGGGAGTGAGGAGGATGTGGATTGATTTTCTGTTGTTTTTTTCAACACAGGATTGAAGAGACATTAGGTGAAGCCAGGAGGACACAGGTTAAAACAGAAGAACATGATGCTTCAAGCAATGGGTTATCAAGCTGTCTTCAGTCTAGGAAACTGTAACTGTTAAAATTTTAACAAGTTTGGCAGAGACTGACAATTAAGGAAGAAAAATCACAGAATCTCTGAGGCTGGAAGGAATCCCTGGATATTATCTAGTTTAACATCCTTGCTCAGTCATGGTCAGCTATCATAAGTTGCTCCATGTCTCCACAAATGAAGCCTCCACAACCTCTTTGGGCAATCTGTTCCTGTTTGATCACCCTCACAGTATTTTCTTTTTCTTACACTTAAATGGAATTAAATATCTGATCATTGTGTGCTGTCCCGTCACTGAACAACCCCAAGGAGAGTTTGGATCCATCTTTTTTACCTCCCCCCAGCACATATTTACACACATTGATAAGAATATATATGAATGACATCTTGTGAGACACTGAAATGGTTTATGGCTTAAACATTGTTAAAATCACTGAAGGACTTTCATCCACTGTAGCAGACTGTGCAAAGAAGCAACTGCTCACCAAGGCCTAGCCCTCCCTGAACATCCCTACTAATTTGGACTGTGATAGGAACTTGAGATAAGATAAAGGTACTATACCCAATTATCCTAGGAGAAGAATGCATCGGCAAGTGTGAAAGACTGGAATGCTGATGTCTCAAACAATCAAGGTGCAAACTGACAATGTGCAGAGTAACTGCCCAGGTGCTGAGGGTGTGCACACCAGACACCTCAGGCTACCAGTTGGGTATTGATCAAGATAAGGAAAGAAGCAAATCCTTCGAGGTGGGGTAGTGTTTCTTTGTCCTTACAGGAGTGATTCAGCTGTGATAACTCCCTTCTGGGGAAGCATTGGGACAATTCACATATAGCCTGAAGATGTTAATCTCTGCTGATAAGCCATAAAGAACTCAAGGCTGATGTAACAGGCAGTTGTAACATCTTAGAAAGTGTCAGAGACTCATGACATGTCCTGTGATCCAGTATTACATCATCCCTTGTAAAACTCCCTACTCCAGGGGTGGCACCAGAGGCATTTTTCTACCTAGCCTAAGCCCAATAAAAGACACGACAGACTGCTCAACATACTTGGATTTCCCCTACCATGGGCTTCTTCTTTCATGCACACGGGCTTCTTCTATTACCACACAGGACTTCCTTCACCAACATGGGCTTCTTCCCTCACTACGCTGGGCTTCCCTCAACAGATCCAGACTGCAACTATCACTTTGACAAGAATGGGATTCTCACCACCAAGAAGACCAGAAGAATAGAATCAACGGGACGCCGTCAGAATCCAAGGATGTTGATATAATTTCTTCCTAATCTGTCTCTCTGTCGCTCTCTTTCTGTCCCTCTCTCTCTCTTTCTCCTATTTCTTTCTATCTCTCTCTACCGTGAATTTACTGTTAAATAAAAATCCATACTATTGACTTTGGCATATGGCCTCATTGGCACCTTAATTTGGGCAGAGGCATCTCTCTAATAATTTTAAAGAACCTGACCTTAACACATCTGTCAGAACAATTGTGTGCGTGAGGGAGCAGCCCACCACAGCAATATAACTTACGATACTGATGCATGATGATCACATAGTGCTAACAGGAGGTCAAAAGTTTACTTAGCACTCTGCCCAAGAATTTCTGTACAGGTTATAGAACAAACTTGATTCATTTACCCACATGTCAGTGTTTATTGGCATTTGGGATGTTATAGGATATTAGAGATATCAGGAAAGCTAAGAAACGTGACTTGGAATTGATGGGAGAACTGTTCCCTTGTGAATCATAGAATCATAGAATCAGCTGGGTTGGAAGGGACCTCTGAGATTATCATGAAGCAGAACCTGAAGGCCAGGCAGACTATTTTAGGTATCTCAAAAGTAATTAGACAACTGTACGTTGGCTGCTGAGTCATCGCAGATGAATTCATCCTCAATTTATGTGTTTTCTGGCATCAGTCCTTGTCTTTCATAATACTTCTTTTATATTACATAACATTATAAAATAAAATTTATACTAAGTGGAAAAAAACAGCTTCTTTATTATCTTGACTGACAGAGCAACAAACTCATTGGTGAAAGGAAACTTTATAATTGAAAGGCTTCTAATTTCTTTGGAGAATGCTTGCTTCTGTTTGGATAAAAATGCCCAGAAAAGTAATTTTTGTTATTGTTAAGGTCTTTCTTCTAATTTAGACTGTCAGAGAAGTTTCAACACGTACCTGTATGAGTCCTAATTCAGAAGAAATCATTAAATAGTTTTGTCACCAATACAGACTTCAACAGTCATCAATCAGGCTCATGAAATGACAAAGTAACTGTGTCCACTGTGATGCTTACAGATTACCTTACAATTTAGGGGCTTTTTTATAAGAATGATTCCTATTTTATCAGGATAAAGACTACTGGATTTGGTGTGTCATCTCCAGTATTTTTCTTTGGTTTTCTTTTATATCCAAGTAAGTTGTTTCAATCCAGACATAAAAAATGCCAATGCTCTACATATTTTTGTCTCATATTTTGCAAATGTAACACATTAATTTATTAGGCTTGTGCTTATTTCATTTCCTATTCTTCTTCCTTACCTCAATACCTCTCTGCATGTAAGCTTTCATTTTTAGGAACTACAAAATAGTTTTATGAAATGCTATAGGGACACAGTATTGAACAGAAATGCCTTAGTTTGCGGAAAAATGAGTAATTCCATTCTGCTTTGTAAAGACTAATCTGAATAATCCCACTCCTGACCTTGTCTATATGCATAACTTAAGTTTATATTGAATTGCCACAGCTAGTTACCTGATTGTTCTTTAGGGGAGAAATGCTTGTTGTCAGAACCTTGAACAAAATCATAATAAAAGCAAATAAATGGATTATGTAAATCTCAGCATGCTACTTCATCTCTTTGCTTGCTTTGAGTCAGTTCATAAAACATTTCAGACTAACCAGAGATAATTAGTTTATATTTGTTATTCTTTCTGTAATGCAGTGAGAATATGCAAGAACAAAAGAAGGGAAAAACCCCCAAACAACCCCCTTCCACATGCTCAAGTTTAGAAATCTCAGATTTGTTTGGAATGGTGCATACATTGTTATAACACAACATCTGCACTATGGAACCTCTGTATAATCCATGAAATAAGACTGGTATGTAATTGAAGGGTATAAACATGACAGTAGGAAAGAGAAGAGATTGTTTTGGTGTAAATTGGATAATCTTGAACAAAAGAAAGTGTAGACTGATTATAAGGAAACATTCCAGAACACACGAAACCGTTTCAGAATGCAAAATAGCCTGTCTAGACAGGTGGCACCTGCTCTATATTTGAGCTTTTAAAAGCTACCTTGAGCAAAACATTCATAACACACACTTTAAAGAAACCAGTAATAGCAGGAAGATGGAGAAGTCAATTAGAGGTTAGAAAACAGTACTTGGTTAGTTCCAATCCCAATATATTCGAAATGGAAAGTCTCCTTCCTGAGAGAGTACAATAAAAAAGAACACATGGGACAGGAACCTCAGCTGCTAGGTTGCTGTGTCAGTAGTCACTGTACCTATGCAAAACCACGTCCTGAGAAAAAAACTCAGAAAGTCTTGATTTCAGTCATTCCACCATGATTCCATATTTTAGCACTTTCCATAAATTTGACTGCACTGAAGACAATGTGAAAAAAGAAAGAAGAAAATCCCCACCCAAATAAAAACAAATAAAACCAAGCCTTCATTGGTTTTACCTGTCTTGTGTCCTTCCTGAGATGCTGGAACAGCAAAACATGCCTGCACTTCTTCTCTGTTGATTTCAGTGATCTGACTTTTGATTTTAAGGTTAGCTACCCATCATCATTTAAATATATTTCTCATTATCATTTCAATCATATTAACACAATCCTGCTGACTGGATATTTTGATATTATTTAGTACAAGTCCCCTGGGATACAGTAAGTAGAAGTGGGAGTGTGAAGTCTATTTTTAGAGTACATTTTCTATGTGAGTCACTTCACTTTGTGTCACAAAATTTATAAAATAACATTTATATTTTACCTGCTTTTGGGGTGGTCAAAGTATCAGAATTCTTTGTTACCTATCCTGTTACTTAAAGTGTCAGATTTTTTAGATAAGATGACAAAATTCTTTTCTTTCACCTCAATAAAAGAAAAAACTCAACGAAATCTTTATTTTATTTTAATCATGAAAAATCCTTTATTTGAATAAAGCTGCTTCTGCCTGTTACAAACCAGACTCAAATCAAAATGACAAGTAATAGGCAAATTATACCATTCAACAATTTAATAAGAAGATCATCAGTTATTTCACAAGAGGAAATGGTGAATATGGTGTTACTTTGGAGATTATAATTTTATATTATTATCACATAGTCACATCTCTTGTTTCAAATTACTTATTAGAAAAAAATGTAAAAATGTTCCTTCTTAACTCAGTCTTTTGCTAGTCAGGATTGTGTAATCCAGTGCTAGATTTTGAAGTCTGTGATCAAAACCAGGCTAATATCAATCAATTAAAAAATTTAAATATTTATAAACCATCAAAATTTTCTTTGTATATATAATCTAATCTACAGTAGAGAAGAAATGATAGCAATTTTTTCTAATTATATAGATCTTAAAGAGGAGAAATATAAAATATATTTAAATATTTGAATTAAAAAAGTTTTAGAATAGAAATATAAAAACCACTATAAAGCCAGATTTAATACCATCTCAAAATTGTTTTACTCAATTTCAACTTTCATTTAAATGTTGAATTGTGTTGGATTCCAAATTTTGGATATGAGAAAAAGAAAAACTGCTAAGGTTAAACAAAAGCTTTGGGCTGACAGAGACTGGGAAAAACCTCCATCTAGAGTCCCAGCAAGGATCCATTGATGTCCAGGATTTGGAATGTCCTGCCCAAGCCTGGAGAAACCATGCCCTGATCTCATTAAACCTGTGCAGAAAACCTTTTGTGTTTTATCTCTCCCTTTGTGTGTTACCTGTTCCCCCCTGTGAAATCCCCCCAGATAAAGTGGGTTTTCCCATATGATGTAAATTCTAAGACCCAAAAGTTTATAATTTAGGATTTCCACTTTACCTCATCTCTGTAAAGTCCCCAATTTTAATGGAATGAATATCCCCCCACACACACTGAATATGTAAACCTCTTGTCAAATATGTAAATCCTAAACCCTTTATATATCAAGTTGTGAGTCCAATAAAGTATTTCAGTTTCTTGCCTCCAAACTGGGATTGTGATAGCTTATTGACTTGCTACAGAGTTGTATTCATGATCTGCTTTCAAAGCAAATATAAGTGCATTTAAAATTAGACAAGAGAAAAAGAATTCTTAACTGATGATCAGTGTTTGTACTTACTGACCACTATGCCAACTTTAGCTTATTATTATTATAATTGATTTTATAACAATGAAAATGCAAGAGCTAGAAAGAGGCCTTGCATATACAGAGCTTATTGAAGTAACTATTTCTTTCTGTTATGTGGATATCAAACATTAAAAAAAAAGGCAATAATTCACTTCTAAAATGTATTCACAGAATACTTAGGGTTGGAAAGGACCCCTGAAAATCATCTAATCCAAGCTCCCTGCCAAGGCAGGGACACCTAGAGCAGGCTACACAGGGACACCTCCAGAGAGGGAGACTTCATGACCTCCCTGGGCAGCCTGTTCCAGTGCTCAGCCACCATCAATGTAAAGAAGTTCTTCTTCGTATTGAGGTGGAACTTCTCATGTTTTAGTTTATGGTCATTACTTCTTGTTCTGTTATTGGGCACCACTGGAAAAAGTCTGGCACTATCCTCTTGGAACCCTCCTTTGAGATATTTATATGTATTAATGAGATCCTCTCTCCATCTTTTCTTCTCTAGACTCAACAGAATCATAGTAATGATAGTTTAGATTGTAAAGAATAATTTCCTATCTGGACTGGAAATCTTTAAGCCAAGTTTTAGCTTAGGGTCACTTTTGTTATTTTTGTTATTCTTCTGTGAAGAATGTTGATGTTACTGTTATATATAAACCTCAGGATAAGGAACAAGATACACAAGGATGTATACCTAACTGAGTTCAATGCAGCTAAGATTAGGGATTTTACTTAAATATCTAAGTAGAGCAATTAGATTTAGGAGAATTTAATTCAGGTCCTGTATTTTTTAATTATGAGAATATAAAACTTTCACAATAACATTATTCACCTAGAGAAAGGACAAGCAATTTTTTCTTTATTTCAAGCAACAAACTTTCCTGTGTTAATTCTGTGGTAAGAATTGTGAGACTGTTCCATAGACAACAGCATATTTATTTATTTATTTATTTATTTATTTATCTATTTTAAATTTTTTACATTTTTTCCTTTTTTTTTTTTTTGGAGGTGAATGGATTGGCCAAGTTTCTCCTTCCAATTCCATTTGTACTAAGTTAGTCACTTCACTGTAACAAAGTGAGGCCTTTCACTGCTAAAGCTTTACCTATTGATAGCCCTCCGAAGTTTGTGAAGTTTGAAAACACAGCTTTTGAGAGAAAAGTATTTTTCATGCTGTGATTTGGCAGTTGATAGGCTAGATTTACCTCTCTCAGTAAAGCAGAGTAGTGTTGATTTGTAAAATAGATAATGAAACTGAAAAAAAAATCACTGTTGAGATAACCTTATCACTTTTTTCTACATATCTAAGTGGTTTTCAATTCCTAAGGCCATTACACTTTCTCTGGATTAGTCTTCGGAGATAGTCTTTGTCTGTTTCTTACCTTATTGAAGATTGGGCTATGTTTTGTATGTAATTGGATGGTAAATAATAGCTTTTCCTGATGTAGTGATAGAGAATGCTATCAAATAAATAAATAAATGAATATTTAAAGTTTTCTTTAAAGAGTTGTCTTTTGCAACTAGCAACATAGCACCAATGTACATACAAGTCCTAATATGCTAGGGTATTGATTTACCTTATAAAAGGGCTTCGAGAAACCAATGAGAATCAGTAAACTTTAGCCTTTTGTAGAGTTGTTTTAACATATGTGAAAGTCTGGTCCAGTAACATATGCTCCATCATCCAGGGGTTTCAACAGCAGTCCAGTTAGTTTTAAGCTTTGTTTAGTCAATAAACAAAATATTGATTAAAAGATGGATTTCGTATTTTGTGCAGTAATGCAGTAATTGGATAATAACAGGTTCCTGCTGTAAGATGTTGATGAGGATATCACTTTACCTTTAAACTGAATTTCCTTAACATAACTTCTTTAGAGTCAATGTAATTTTAAATCTTTTGTATAATTGCTACAATAAACTATTGTATATAAATATGTATCGAAACACAATCATAGTAGATGGAAAATGTTTGCCATCAATGGCCCATGGACAAATATCAATGAACTCAATGAACTGTAAGTCAATATTGGCTTTATATTCATTAGATAATAGCATTTCACGGACATTGTATTGAGCACTAAACTGTGATACTTGCTGAATAACATTAATGGCTTACACTTAAAGATTGTATGATATAGCTCCCATTTAAAATTGAGCCTAGTTATACTTTACTGCATCATAGACACGGAGTAAGTTTTGTGTTGCTGAAACCCAGTAAAATGTATACAACCATAAGACTATATTGTGCCATTTTAATGTTGATTGCTCAATATTTCACGACAGAACTGTATTTTGTGTCTTAGTCTTGAGCGAGACAAAAAAAATATATATGTATGGTGTAATGTCAGTAGGCTTTGGTGCAACAGAAACGTGTATGAGTTTCAAGGGTGGACACAGATACTTCTTTTTTAATGAACATTTCTCATTTAGTGTAAGACTCAGTATTACATATGTTTTTCAGAAATAATGACGGATTGTTCTGGGTCTTTAATGATCGACGAAATATAACAGAAGAACACAAAGCAGCACTCTGTAGTGCTATAGTGGATATCCTAATCTCTAAACAAAAGAATGCTCCTTTTTATAGATGTTTTTTTTCTTTTCTTAGTTTGTTTAACTCTGTTTTATATTTGATGTAGGCATTTTGCTTCTACAGTATACTACAGAATGCTGCTTGGTCTTCTTCTATTGTATTTCCTTGACCTGGTTGTAAAAGGAAATTGATATTTTTCGAGCAGGATTTTCCCCTTCTGACCCTGTTCTAGCTGTGACCAATGACTGCTCTTTTATAATCCCAAATCATGGTTTAACACAGTTTAAGTATGACTAAACCCAAAAGATTCCTTTGATGATGCTGCTATATTAGATATCCTAATTCCTAAACCAAAGAATACTCCTCATATATATATATTTTTTTTTTTTTGCTGTCTTTCCCAAACTTGTTAAACTCTATTTGAAATTAATATAGATATCTTGCTTGTACACCTTTTTTTTTTTTTTTGGTAGAGAACCATTTTCAGTTTTTTTTTTTTTATAGACATTTTTTGCTTTTCATCCTAGAAATATATCACAGAATCGCAAAATGGTTGAGGTTGTAAGCAACCTCTGGAGGTCATCTTGCCCAACCTCTCTGCTCCAGTAGGGCCACCTAGAGCAGGTTACCCAGGGCCATGCCTATGTGGTTTTTGAATATCTCCAAGGAGGAAGACTCAACCTCTCTGGGCAACTCATTCCAGTCCTCAATCATCATTACAGTCAAAAAATATTTCCTTATGTTCAGACAGCACCTCTCATGTTTCACTTCGAGCCCATTACCTCTTGTTCTGTCACTGAGCACCACTAAAAAGAGTCTGCCTTCCCCTTCTTACTTCCTCCCTTTAGGTATTTATATGCATTGATAAAATCCCCTCTTTCTCCAGTGAGAAATATATATGCTTGACCACACTTTGTAGAGAAGATTTGTCCCATCTGAGCATTTGTTTGCTGTGTTAAAAAAGCAGAGATATTTTAATGTGTCTTCTTCAAAGAAATAGTCTATTCACTATATCTTCCCAGCAGAAATTTGTCATGCATGTTCCATAAACCTAGGCTATCAGATTTGTGCAAAATATTTCCAGTAAGAGCTGTTTGATCATTTAATCTTTGAGTGGTTTTAGTAATTCTTTTTCTTCATTCAAAGACATTGGCTATAAACTCCCTCCTGATACTTATCTAATCTGTTCTTAAATGTTCTTAAAAAGTATTCTGTCCCAGTCTCAGTGACTGGAAGTTCTATGGTTCACTATGTCCCCTGTTATAGAAAGTTAAAACTGCCTATAAAGTAAATCAAATTATTTTTTACCTTATCCACAGATAAGTGAACCATTTCTTCTTCTTGTGCAGGTCAGTGTAATTTATACTTGTTTGCAAGCTTCTGTCATTACCTCAGTAGGTCAGCAGTAACACGCACTACAGAAACTTTAGACCTAGAGAAATTTTTATTTCTTTATTAATTGATCCTATATTTGAACAATGATCCACATGCTTGATACATCATCAAAATATTAATATATTAAAGAAATACTTGCAGCTCATGTCTTTTAATGATGTAATTATTTCAGTAGAGATGTATGCATTACATTATGAAAATAACAGCAACAGGACAACTTTATTCTTATACTTTCATGTTTCACCACTACATCTTGTGCATTGGAATGTCTCTTTGCTTTTTTAGACCAGAAAATGGAAACCAAAGCTGAAAATAGTTGATGTTTTAAGCGTTATTTTATTGACAGTATAATAATATATTAACGATTCTAAGGCAAGTAATTGGTACACTCTAATAAAAAGTAATTTAAGTTTAATATTGGAGGACTGTTTATCTAAGTACATGGAGAAAATTATGTCTTCTTTGAGGATTTTCAAAAGTATTAACATAAAAGAGGAAAAAGAATAAGTAGTTTAATTACAAATTCGAAGTGACTATCACATTGCAGCATTTTCCCAGCTTTTTTCAGTACTGTGTCAACTGCTGTCACCTGCTCCTTTTCCTCATGTATATACCTTGTAGTCTTCATTTCTATTGTTAGATAAGAGCTGAATCTGTTCAGGGTCTGAAACTACCTCACGTGAGCTGGATTATTTTTAACTCTGTTTCTTTTGTTTAGGTGCAGGTCTTGATTTTAGAGGGAATATATTAGGTTGTAACACCATGCAAAAACAAGTCAATGTATTATACACCTCACTGTTTAGGATAATTTCTCTTATGTATCCTTAGAGATGAGAGAAAACCCCATAAGATATTTCATTTTTAGAACTACCATGTTTTTTGAGGTTAATGGAAACATTAAGTTTGAGACTTTTCATCTGTGCTGTGGCTCATCTATCTTTTCTCTTTACCTTCTTTCTTATTCATATCTTCCTACTTAAAGTATTTCCCTTGCTTAAAATAAATTTTTAAAAGTAAAGACTCACTGTTACATTGGTTTTTTTTGATTCAACTCATCTGTCTTAGGTATTGCACATACACATTTTAAAAAGGCAGTGTTATATTGATGAGGGGTAAGTAGGTGCTTAGTCCTCACCTTTATTAATTAAGCAGTGCAAAGACTTGGGATAGGGCTGCATCTTAATAAGTTTTTAGGCTGGTTTCTTGTGCAGTTTCAGCCTTAGGTGACTTGCACTCTCCCAAAAGAGTCTGAGCGTGGTTTGGGAGTAGGTTATGTCCACGAATCATTCTCAAAAGGTAATTTGCATATGGCCATCTCAATCTGGAAGGTAAGGAAGTTTAACAGTATGGCTGTAAGTTATTTCTAGGCTTGTGGGTCAGAATATAGTCTTGGCACTGTTTATGAATGTAGCTTTTTATCCCATCCATTCCCACCCTCCTCAAACTATGCATACATC